AAAAAAAAAAAAAAAAAAAAAAAAAACTAATATAATTTCCATTCCTTGATCTGCAGTTACAAAAAGAAACTAGTACAATACCCGTGTATTATACAGGTACTTGTTAAAAATTTATTCCTAAATTTTAAAATTAATGAGAAAATTATATTAAATTTAGTTTACTTTTTTACAAAAAAATATATTACTATATATTTTAGAATGATATGTGTTACTTATGACTTACATGTGTTATATTGTATTAGTTTTATAACTTATATCATATAACTACTTGAAATATAAATATATTAGTTGATAAATAATTTTATTTTTTTAATTAATATTCAAAACAATTTTATTATTGTTATAAAGATAAATATAAATTATTTTTTTTATATATATAATATAGATGTTAAATCGAAGCTCATCAAAAAAAGATTATTTTGATATATTACATATGTAAAACTAATAAAAATACAAAAGTTATTAACTTTTAAAATATATATACAATTCAATAGTTATAATAAGGAATGATATTAAAATGTAATTAATACATGTAACATAACCATAAATAATCAATATATTTATGGTAATCCGAACTAATTATTTTTGGTTTAGAATTAAATTAAAATTTACCCAGGCCTGTAATTTTTTCACATAGGATTCCAAAGCACCAGAATCAGCCACGTAGGCTTAGCGCGTTTTGAATTAATATATAGGGGGAGGGGGATTTCATGTGCATTTAATAAAACCTCAAAATTTTTCCCTCCAAAAGAGGTTACTTTGCATTAATTAAGTATTTATTTATTTATTTATTTATTTTATTATATAGCAATTACTCCTAACAAATCATAAAGCCACATTAAATTAATTCTAATTTAAATTTTTTTTCAAACTATTTATTTGATTTTTTATTTTTTTTGGTTTTAACTCATTAAGCAAGTGTTTTTATCAACATTGGTTATTTAATTTTTACGATATAACCAAAATTTTCAAAATTTCGGTACTATAAGAATAATTATTTCAATATTATTTTATCTAATCAATTGTTCATACTAAAAAAGTATTGCAAAAATTATATAACTGCAATCGATATAAAAACTAATATGTAAGTTAATAGTTTATGTTCATTTTTACTAATGATAAAATTTATAAAATGTGATATGCTATTATCTAACTTTTGATTTTAAATATTACATACACATACATATAACATATAAACTTATATTTTCATCTGTGCATGTGCACATGATCGAATACTAGTATATTATAACTATGAATCGTTAGTTTGCTACTTTTTCTATCATACTACAGTTAATTACTTCCGTAATTATAAGTACATATTGTTTTAGAAAAAAAAGTATGGTAATTAAAAGTTCATAGTCTATATCATATTTCCTTAAATTATAAGTTATTTTTTATTATCAAATTTTCTCTTTTCATGCTTTACTTATTTTTTATATTTTAAAATATTGTGATTATTATATTATCATTCTTCAAAAAATCATATACCACGTAATTTGAATAATAGTACAAAGTAATAACTAATTAGAAATGAAAAAGTGCAGCATTCAATATTAAATGGAGAGAGTATTATTATTCTTACATATCAATTTTGCTATGAAGTCAATAGTTAGCTCTATAGTGAAACCAACCTTCTATATACAACATATAAACCTACCATATTAATAAAATTATATTATTGTTATTTAAGTAATCCGAGAATATAGTAGGTTTACTTGTTGTATATAGAATGTTGACTCCACTATGGAGCCAACGGTTGACTTCATAGCAAAATCGTCTACATATTACAAAAAAATTTTATTAGAAGTTTATTAATCATTCCACTAACTTTCTTTTCACAAAAAAA